AATAATAATAATAATAATAATAATAATAATAATAATAATAATAATAACAACAACAACAATATAATTGCTTATTCATTTTAGTAAACCTTTCTTATATAATTAATAATTTTCTTAAGCTTTTAAATTTCTAACTTCTGTTTCTGTTAGTTAACCATTGATAAAACAAATCCCATGTTAAAAAGTATTCTGTTTTTTCCTTCTCCTTAATTTTTAGTATTAATCTATCCATTTCTGCACATTCTGCACATTTTTTAAATGTATTTTTACTGAGTTTCTTTTATTACATCATAAAATACCATAATTTTTTAAATTACACTTTCATCCGTAGAGATCTCTTCATTTTTCCATTGTTGTGCAAACAGAATTCTGGCCGCTGTTAACATATGTAAAATTAAATATGTATTCCCTTTACTGTATTTTTTTCTGGTAAGATACCCAACAAAATATTTCTGGTTTTAAATCCAGATGTTGTTTTACTATTTTTTTCTAACTAGATATGTATTTTTGTCCAATATTTTTTTTTTTGCCTTTGGGCATATCCACCACATGTGATAATATGAACCTGGTACCTGATTAAATTTCCAGCATTTAGCGGACATGTTCTTGAACATCTTTGCCAGCAGTCTTGCTGGTGGAAAGTGCCATCTTTAAAACATTTTATATAGATTTTCCTTATATGTAGTTGACATTGTTAATGTGATGACCCAAAGGGGCGTGACACAAAGGCAACCCAGTCACATAAGCAAAAAGGGTCCCTTTAGTACTTCCAACTTTGCCCCCTAATGTCCAGGTTACCTTCGGCTGGAGAAAAACTCTCTCAGGAACAGCCTTTAAGTGGAGGATATTCAGTCCGAAAACAAAGTACATACAAACTGTAGCTAAAAATCCACACAAACCACGCTATAGCAATTAACTTGACAGGGGCAGGAGAAGGAATTCCAGACTTGAAAGGCCAGCAAAACACACACAATTGGGAAGATGCCAATTGTGACACAGATAAGCCTCGACAATACCAGACAATTCATGATTTGCACCCAACAACTTGCTTTGCACAGCTTCCCTTTTTAAACACTGTGTTCCCAGCTGTAGCTAATGACGGGAATCAGGGCCCTTTCCTCCCCTGTAAACCATGCAACCCACGTTGCTCCCTTCTCTATTCCTCCCTGCGTGCCCTAGGATGAAGGGGGGTGGGCCTAGGTCTCTCCTGCTTCTATCTGATTTTGTCCAAGAATTCAGGTTGTCCTCCACACCATCACGAATGCAAGTTTGTGGCCCTAATTTCTCCTCCTCCTTTTGAGACGGGTTGCAGAAACTCTGTGTCTTTGAACCCTACTGGTTTCAAAATTAGATTCTGAACTCCCTGGGGGTACAGGATGCTTCTCGAAAGCAATGGAAAGCTGCTCAGAGCTGTGGAATCAGAAATAAATAAGCCTTCAGTGAATTTTAATCAGCTGCCTTGTTGCTGCAGGATTTATATAATTTTTAATCCTTTTTTATTATTGTCATCATGGCAAGAACCGTAGAAATGGAGGGTTGTTAAGTCAGAATAGATAAAAATTTACACATCAAAAGGAGATAGATAGATTCGATCAGGCTTCTGTTTCTCTTTTGAATATTTTTTTGGAGCCCTGCTTGTCTAATGCTGTATTTTCTGAATTTTGAATTAAATGAGTCTGAACAAGCATTGAGTCTCGATCTGGAAAGTCTAGCCACTTGTAGAACAAGATTAACATAATTTGCAAGTGAAATTCATGGTGTGTTTCAAAATGGGTATTATATGATTCAGAGAATTAAAGATAAAAGGATACCATTTATTGCACACTTCTAAAAGCTTAAACAGTTCTTGTTGAAATAGGTTTGGTTATAAAATCAGCGTGTGAATCAAAGTTGCTTTTGTCAGAAACCTTCAGTGGATGAATGTCAATCCAAGAGGTGTTTTCAGTTGCTTTTGTGTTCCCAGCTTTGTGTCATGCTGGACAACTCTCAAAATGTTTTTTTTGTTGTTGTTGTTGTTCTGATTGACACATTAAAACTGAAAGAGAATTTCAGCTTTGCATTGTTAGGTGTTTTTCGCTCACAATTCTAACTTATCAATGGAAATAAAAAAGCATAAGAATGCTAGTTAAAGTGCTGAATAGGTCACAAGAAACCAGCTTTGATTCTTTTTCCTGGAAGACTGAATCGATCTATCACCATTGCTCTTCCTGATAAGCCGGGATATTAAAAGGGTTGGACCCTTGTTTAAATGACACACGGAGTGATGTTTTTCCCATTTGTTCAGGCAGTGGGGTTGGACTAGAAGATCTCCAAGGCTCTTTCCAACTCAAATATTCCATTAATTGCATGATGCTTCATCTTTTCACACCCTACAGATGCGACAAGGGGCGTTCCTTGTGAACACGGCTCGCGGAGGACTGGTGGACGAGAAAGCCCTCGCACAAGCACTGAAGGAAGGCAGAATACGGGGAGCAGCCTTAGATGTCCATGAATCAGAGCCATTCAGGTGACTGGACAACTCATTCTTTAAAACCAGAGCTTGAAGGCCCTTGAAATAATATAGTGCCATCTCCACTTTGTGAGAATTCTTAGCAAATCAGGATGATTTGAAAATCAGCATCTCAAATACATTGTTAAGAGCATTTGTGGTGTTTGCATCAAAGTCTAATGGGAAAAGGTCCTAGCATCTCCAAAGAGTGAGCCCTAAACATATTGTTAATACATGTTGGGACTGCAAGGGTCTCTCTCATAAACTTAAAACGGAATAATTTTAAGGGTCAAAAGTTTGAAAATATATAGGCTTGGACCCCATAAAGAAACTGGGAGACAACCTTGAACTGGAC